ATAGATGTATAGATTGTATAGATGATAGATGTATAGTATGATATAGAGTATAGATGTATCAGATGTATACATGGTATAGATGTATAGATGTATACGGAGTATAGTGTATAGCTATATATGTAAGAGTGTATTAGATGTATAGATGTATAGATTATAGATGTATAGATGTATAGATGTATAGATGTATAGATTATTAGATGTATGGAGTGTATAGCATGTATAATGTTATAGATGTAATAGTGTATGATGATAGATGGATAGATGTATAGATGGTATAGATGTATAGATGTATAGATGTTATAGATGTATATGATAGATGTAATAGATGTATAATGTATAATGTATATATATATATGTATAGATGTATGATGTATAAGTATAGATGTATAGATGATATAGACTGTATAGATGTATAGTGTATAGATCGTAATATGTATAGATGTATAGAGTTATAGATGTATAATGTTATAGATGTATGCTATAGAATAGTATAGATGTTTATATATAGATGATATAGATGTATACATGTATAATGTATCAGATTATAGATCAGATGTATAGATGATACGATTATAGATATATATATAGATATAATATAATTATAGATTATAATTATAGATGTATACATGTATAGATGATATAAATGTATAGATATAACATGTATAATTTATAGATGTATAGATGTATAGATGATTATAGATGTATAGATGTATATTGTATAGATGTATTAGTATGATTATAGATGTATATGTATAGATGTATAGATGTATAGCATGTATAGATGTATATAGAATTGTATAGATGTATAGATGTATAGATGTATAGATGTATAGATGTATAGATGTATAGATGTATAGATGTATAGATGTATAGATGTATAATGTATAGATGTATAGATGATTATATGATGTATAGATGTATAATGTATATATGTATAGATGTATAGATGTATAGATGTATAGGATTATAGATGTAAGATATATAGATATATAATATTATAGATAGATAGATAGATATATAGATATTATAGATATATAGATATATAGATATATAAGATATATAATATATAATATATAGATATTAGATATAGATATATAGATATAGATATAGATATAGATATAGATATAGATATAGATATAGATATAGATATAGATATAATAGATAGATAGAGATATATATATAGATAGATTATACATATATACATATATAATTTAGATAATATAGTATATATGTTATGATAACCAAGGGTATATGATTCATTTTAATCACAGGTGTTTTAAGTGCTTAAAAGTTTACCATTTTGGATTCCATTCAATTCGGTGATCATCTATAATTATGGTTGATGTTGCAAAATTGGCTTCAAAAATGATTTAGTGCAGACCTTGAATGTACCTTCTCTTCCTCTTTCCTAAAGTATCAAAATAATTTTGTCCTTTGTATGTTTGCAATGAATTTCGTTATTCATTCTATGCAGTTTTCTCTATGCTGACATAAATTCTAGTTTATTCTAGATAATGTCAGATAGTAGTTCAACATAGAGAAAATTATATTTAGCTATGAAAAACAGTAAAACAGTAAGACATGGCATTTTTGAAACATCTTTGAATTCTTTCTCTTTCTTCTTTCTTTCTTTCTTTTCTTTCTTTCTTCTTTCTTCTTCTTTCTTTCTTTCTTTCTTTCTTTCTTTCTTTCTTTTCTTTTCTTTCTTTCTTTCTTTCTTTCTTTCTTCTCTTTCTTTTTCTTCCTTTCTTTCTTCTCTCTTTCTTCCCTCTTTCTTTCCTTCTTCTGCTTCTTTCTCTCTCTCTCCTCTCTCCTCTCTGCAAAGTGCAAAGTTAACCATAACACTACTTACAATAGGAGTCACAGTAATACCCAACAGTCTCGGGGAGTGACGGGGCAAAAAAGCATAGAGCCACCATATTAGAGGAAAAAAGAATATGGATTCATTTGAACCAAGAATTTGAAGGTGACAACTTAACCAAATTCTTTTAGACAAGTGTGTTTAAATGATTAAATCAAAATGGCTTTCTTATCTGCATCATTTCTTCTATTACAGTGAAAAAAGACTTTTCTTTTCTTGATTTCGTAGTTAATTTATTATTTGGAGTATGAATATGAAAGCATAAACATACATATGGAGTGAAATTTATCTCACTGCTTTATTCACAAGCAATACATAAATTCAAGGAATGAAAGTCAGTTTCTTAATTTTTTTATCAATATAAATACCTGGTAACAATTCACACATTTCATATGAAAATAGTAAAATACTCTCAACCTCCCAACTGTCCTACATGAATTTTATACCGGCCATATCTTGTTTTCATTTTCAAAAAGAATAGAGTGCACTATTTATGCTTTTGACAAATCAGATAAGAAAGTTGTTGTTTTACACAAATTCAGGATTTTTTTATGGTAATATACTCTCAATTGTTAAATAATAAATACAAATATATCACAATTGCAATTCTAATCAAGAATTACTAATGAAAATACTCTCTGAAGTTTACCCGTTTATTTTCTTTAACAATACAGTGGATTTTTTTTTAAATACTGTCAAAATATTAACATTAAATGCAATGTGCATTAAAGTAAAATCTTTGTGATTCAAAAATTATTACATTCTAACAAAGACTTGCCTCTTAATAGCATTTTTCTTGTAATGAAGTCATGATACACAGGTATCTATCAAAATCATTCTCAAACTGAATTCAATTGGCCCAACAAGAATACTGTTGATAAAGACAGAAATGGTAAATCCGAGACAAAGATGGACAATATTATAGAATCCATTCTACAGAAGACATTAAATGCTGTATCCCATCCAAGCAAATTTCAAGGAACTGATATGAAAGCACTGTGTTAACCTTTCCTGAAAGTACTCGATATGATTTACATTGGTTCGTAACTTTTCCAGTCGAGGCTGTCCTTCCTATCTCGGCGCAAAAAGTTCTGGAAGAAATCATCAAAGATAGCAGGGAGATCTTCCTCCTTGTAATCCTTAGTAGTAAAGAAGCCATCCTTCTCTGCCCCACGGACCATTGCAGACAGTCCTGCAAATTGCGAAAGAAAGCATTACCTTCATAAATTCTCTGTTCTTGGCAGAAAAATGCACCATACACAAAAATGATGATAATCCCTGATATTACAATTGATATTAAATTCAGAGTAAAATCAATGATAATAATTACTAAACAGAACACATATATACAACAAAAAAAAAGCATTAGAGTATGAAAGGAATTGGAGAAAAGAAATAAATAGGAGGAAGAGAAATAGGAAGAAAATAAGAAGAAAACAAAGAATAAAGATATAAAGATAAAAGAAACACAAGGAGAAGAAGAAACTGAAGAGTAAAGAGAGAATTAAAAGAGGAAAAGATCAAGAGAGAGAATTGTAGAAGGAAATGAAAGAAAAATCAGAGAAAAGGAGAGAAAATGTATTCTCAGCCTCTTCTCTCCCTGTTACCCTCTCCAAAATACAATAACATTAACTTACTCTTTTCTGGCTGAGGTCTATACAAGCAGAGGATCTTCTTATTCATTGCCACACCACGGCCGAGCTCAAATCCAACACCAAGGGATGGCTGTGTTACTTCTGCAACAATAGCTGCAAGGGAAACAAAAAACTGCTAGAAAGACAGAATTAAATGGAATTATATATTCGCTCACCCACTCCTTCCGCTCCTTCGCTCAATCTATCTCTATCTCTCTATCTCTATCTATCTCTCTATCTATCTATCTATCTATCTATCTATCTATCTATCTATCTATCTATCTATCTATCTATCTATTCTATCTATCTATCTATCTATCTATCTATCTATCTATCTATCTTCTATCTCTATCTATCTCTATCTATCTATACTATCTCATCTATTCTCTATCTATCTATCTCTATCTATCTATCTATCTATCTATCTATCTTCTATCTATCTATCTCTATCTATCTATCTCTATCTATCTATCTCTATCTATCTATCTCTATCTATCTATCTCTATCTATCTATCTATCTATCTATTCTCTATATCTATCTATCTCTACTATCTATCTATCTATCTCTATCTATCTATCTATCTCTATCTATCTATCTCTATCTATCTATCTCTATCTATCTATCTCACTCTTTCTCACTTTCTCACTTTCTCACTTTCTCTCTTTCTCACTCTCTCTCACTCTCTCTCACTCTCTCTCACTCTCTCTCACTCTCATACGCCTTAAATTGCTCACCCTCTCCCTCTTTTTCTGCTATGTTACTTTTTGAATTCCACTTCTGAATTCTGTCCAATATCTATATTGCTACTAACATATGTATTATATCATGAATTTTTGAGCTATATCCAATAATACCATTTCTTACCATGGCATTCCTCTAGTAAGCTCATATCACGATCATAGATTTCCTTGTCAGTTTTTGCTTTTCCTGTGGAATAGATAACATCATTAGAACATTACAACAGAAAAGATAAAAATGCCCATTTTCCTGTGGGCATTTAATTACAGTATGAGGTCTCAAAAGAATACTCCTTATTTATGGGAATGTTACAGCAAATAATGGTAATTCTTTACAGTATGGACACACTCGCCAAAGAGAAGTCTCCATCTCATCACAAACTTTATTCAACAATCTAAACTTCCTTGACTATATATCCCCTGGGGAGGGTTGATGGGGGCCTCTGCCCCACAACTCCTCCTGCAGCACCACCCCGAAAACATACACTGCAAGGTAACTGAAACTTGGGGAGGACATTGTGGCACTTTCTGCAATCTTTTTTCATTATTTGTGACATTGTCTGCAAATTATTTCTTGTACCAATGACTACAACTTTTTGTCCTCTAATGGAATATTAACTTCAATTTCCCCTATATTAATGCATCCATACCATGAAGATTAACCCAAGTAATTTGTTTCCTTCAAAAATAAAATGACAATGATAAAAGACATAATTCACATAATCAAGAGTGTCTCGAATCCAAAACATAAAACCCAGATCAAAATCCTGTTATCTTATGCTCAATTAAGACAGATGCTTAAGATTAAACAGACATTTATAAATTACTATTTTCACACATAAAAAAATTAAAAAATAGAGAGATTAAAAATAATAACCTTCTTCAGCTGAATGTACTGTCAGGTTTGGATCAGCCACGAAAGGTGTCAAAACGGTGCCATACTTCCCGAGCATCTCCACAATGCGACCATAAATCTCCACGTCTCCTCGGCCAGCTCTGATGCTGCCACAGAAGTACACCTTGAGACCCGTTGCCATGGTTATGATTTCTTCACTGAGGAAAAAGGGCATGTAAAGGTAAAATGAATGAAATATAATCTATTCTTAAATATATTGAATTCTTTATACTCTTATCTAATGAAATTATTTACCTCAGTCACATACAAAATTTCAAGTGATTATTATTTAAATAGAAATAACACAGCTAAAGCAACGGCAATTGCATGATGCCATTGGTGTAAAGAATACTATATCACGCAGAGAATAAAGACATTGATATGTATATTTACTGGTCTCATATAATGAAATGATAAATCATGACACAAACTCTAATCCATACAGTGGATATCTATGTTTAAATTGTAAAATACTTACCAAACTGTAAGTAAATATAATTAGAATTCAGTTTACATTACATTTTTCTAATAAAACTAATACACTCTTTTTCAGTGTTAAAATCTCAAGCACTAATAAATATAGCCCATCCTAGACTGCAACAGATGACACACACTTCCACTTA